ATACCCCGTACACTTTGAAATGGCGATGCCACAATTTACCCCGCAGCAGAGAGCTTTTATGCATGGTATCAGAGTTCCTCCGTAGCAACAACATAAACTTGATTCGCCAATGTTTCACGAACGAATATCCAGATGTACGATGCCCTTCACGTATTCGCACGTGAAGGGCATCGTACATCTGGATATTCTTTTGTGAAACTTTGGCGAATCAAGTTTCTGTTGTTGCTACGGAGGAACTCTGATACCATGCATAAAAGCTCTCTGCGGCGGGGTAAATTGTGGCATCGCCATTTCAAAGTGTACGGGGTATTATACGAGAGAATGCGTTTCAGCACAAACAACTCGAAAGCACAAATTCCATGGAAATTCCATGGAACTCTCATGGGAGTAAAAATGAATTCATAATGCAGCAAGAACAGCACCAACGGAGAAAAATGTAACGTTTTCATAGGCTTTTCGGAGGATTTGTACTCGGTAAAATCCTGCCGAAATTTTATCATAAATGCAACAAATAGCGAACTTTTCATACATGAACTCAAATAAAGAATACCGTTTGTCATTTCTGTGCGCAAGCCACTTTTAGGGGAGCAAAAGTTGACCACCCCCCTGGATAGCAAAATTTACTATTTTCAAAATTTTTTATATTTTCCATAATTTAAGAACTCAAGCAATCCATATATAGCAAAACTTACATTTCATGAACAGAATTGTGGAATTGAGAGCAATTTCAAAATTGTCTTACTTTTTTTGATACACCCTGTATATATATATATATATATATATATATATATATATATATATATATATATATATATATATATATATATATATATATATATATATATATATATATATATATACAGGGTGTCTCAAAAAAAACCAAAATCATTGAAATTGACGTATTGTTCGATATTCAATGCCCTAGCACTAAGTTAATCCCACGAGTGTATAAAAGATTGACATAACTGCTATAATGAATGGTAATACTCAGCGTAAACTTGTTATGTCAGGCATAAAGTACTAAACCCACGAATGCATATTACGCATATTACAATTTACGAAGCATTTTTAAATTCCCATGAGCAAACAAACGTTCACTTTACAAAGATATTTTAATTTTTAAAACAAATTAATCACCCTGTCAAAATCCTTTGTGTTACGGCATTGAAATTCGAACAAT